TCTTGTTGGTGTTTCTTTCTTCTTCTGAGCATAAATTCCCTCTCCTACTTACTCTCCCTGCCTGGAAATCCTGCCTATACTTCCTTCCTCACTATTGGCCATCCAGCTTTCTATTAGGCCAATCAGGTGCCTTAGTCAGGTGAGGTGAAACAGCAACATATCTTTACATAGTTAAACAAATATTCCTCAACATAAATAAATGCAACACATCGTTGCATAGTTAAAGAAATGCAGCCGGGCGTTGGTGGCGCACGCCTTTAATCCCAGCACTTGGGAGGCAAAAACAAGTGGATCTTTATGAGTTCAAGGCCAGCCTGGTCTACAGAGTGAGTTCTAGGATAGCCAAGGCTATACAGAGAAACTCTGTCTCAAAAAAGCCCCCCCCAAAAAAAAAAAATTTATAAGAAAAAATATTCAGGGATGTCTACAGAAATGTCCCTACTGGGACTTTCCTTGGCTGAATATGGCCTGGTTTTGTTTTTATTCTAAGACATTGTCTCCCCATATTGTTATTGTTTGTCCTGAACTCTTAGGCTTAAATAATCCTCCTGCCTCAGCTCCAAAGTGCTGGAACCACAGGTATGAGGTCCTGCCAGCCTCAGACTTGCAAAGGGATGTGTTTTAGTTCTCACCACAGTAAGATTTTCTGTCGTAAGTTAATGACTGGCTCTTTTGACTCAGCACAAGCCACTAGGTCTTACATACTTTCAGCAGTCTGTGCTTTCGTTGTATGGTCCAACCGGCAGTGCCACCCAGAACCTTTCAAATCACAAGACTTGTTCTTTGCTGGTAATGCCTCCACCGGGAGTCTTGAGGTTCCCATTCATGGTATTTGTAACATCAGTGTAAATCCTGTTTCATACACTCCTGTCTTGGGAGACAGCCTGTGAGTCAGTTGCTTCTTTAAATTCTCTGAGACAAAGGGATTTAGTATCTTTTGAAGCAGTCAGTGAGCCTCAGCTACCCACAATGTAAAATGCTTGGGCTTGACACATAGTAGAGTTCCGGAACCCATATTTCTGTCTTTTTGTACTTCTCAGCCTGACTTAGCAGCCAACGAGGCCCAGCTTCTGAGGAAGATCCAGTTATTGTGCCTTATGGAGGTAAGAAGCACCTGGAGTCTGTCCATAATACTTGACAATGCTCACGAGCTAGCTAGACCTGTGAGCTTGCCTGCCTCTCTCCTGAGTAGTTTCCTCCACTACTTACCTGTGTCTTCCTTTTGCCTTTGCTCATTTAAGGTTGAATTTGGATCTGATGATTTTTTTGTATGTTTATTCTTTTGTGCGGGAGGGGTCAGAAAACAACTAACCAGAGTCACTTATCTCCTGCTGAGGATGGAATTGTGACTGACACAGTGCCTTTACCCACTGAAATGTCTTCCTGGCCTCTTAGACAGGCTCCCTTAGACACTTCGTAAGTTGTCCCTGTCTCTTGAACCTGAAGCCACTGTCTCCTGCCACTAACCTTGTGACACACCCTTTCTGTCCATGTGCTTTTCTGTTTTCTCCAGTAGAATGTGAGCTTCTGGAAGAATTGCAGTGTGCGTGTCCAGTGTCCTAAAGTGGTCCCTGTACAGGGGATTTGGTGGCTTCAACTACCTAGTCAAGGAATGCATATTTGTTCTTGTCAGAGATTCTTTTAAAGTTTGTTTTGTCCTTTAACTTTCTCTGAGCATTGAAAACTTGTTTAGTGGATGCTAGGTTAGGAAAATTTTTGTACTTAGATATGGGGCTAAAAAGATAGTCTATATTTTCAGAGCAATTTTTTGTTTTTTAAAGACAGTCTCTCACTATGTCACCCTGATCCCAGCCTGGAATTTGCTATGTAGACCAGGCTGGTCTCAACTCACAGAGATCTGCCTATTTCTGACTTATGAATACTGTAATTAAAGGCATTTGCAACCATGCCCACAAAACAACTTTCAAATTTTGACCAAAACATTCTTTAAAAAAAAAAAAAAAAAAAATCTCTGACTACTTTGAAAAATGGTTTTGTTTTTCAGATGACTTTCACACGACCTGCCAACCACAGACAACTCACTTTTGAAGAAATTGCCAAAAGTGCCAAAATCACTGTGAACAAGGTTAGTTCTTGGACTTAGGGATCACAGCAGCAGAGCTACCCCACCCCTGGCAGAAGGCTATGCTCCCAGTGTCTCATACAAGCCCCTTTGCTCAGGTGGAGTTGCTGGTGATGAAGGCACTCTCGGTGGGGTTGGTGAGAGGCAGCATAGACGAGGTGGACAAGCGGGTTCATATGACCTGGGTGCAGCCTCGAGTGCTGGATTTGCAGCAGGTAAGGGGACTGAGCTCCTGCCCACCTTTGTGGACTTGGGTTATACCAGCACTGACCTAGTTTTATGTGGACAGAAGTCAATTTAGGAAGAAGACACTTGTCCACACAAGGTATCACAGATGGGATTACTGCTGTAGAGACCTAGGTAATGCACACCTGAGGTCTGAAGCCTGCATTTAGAGGCTTACTGTGACAGCAGTGCTGGCTGTGCTGGTGATGCCTTCTAATCTTAAAATTGGTACTCTGGTCAGACATGTTCCTGGTTTTGTGACTTAATCCTATATCCCTACTCATATTTTCTGGACATTTAATCCTGTGATTTCCTCCATTCTTTTTCTTTCATGTGAGTTTTTAGAATGTCCTTGTGATAAGAATTGGCACTAGGAGTCTATCACACACCTCCACCCTCAGCTCTATTATTGCCCTTAGCATTTCCCTGAAAAAGAACTAGAGATTAGCACTACCACATAGGGCATGTGACTCCCTTTAGCCTGATACCCATGTGATGTGGTTTGTCTTTAGATCAAGGGGATGAAGGACCGTCTGGAGCTGTGGTGCACTGATGTGAAAAGCATGGAGATGCTGGTGGAACACCAGGCTCAAGACATCCTCACCTAGTGCCCCATGTTCTGCAGACCCTGCTTCACCTTGCAAGGCATTTCTGTGGCCCCTGAAACCATCAGCAGAGATCTGTATTGAATTGGGATGGAGTTTGGGATCCCGCTAAGAATAGGAACTGTTCTTGCTATAAAAGCAGAGATCTTTCATTGATGGGGGTTTGAATACTTGCAGAAGGCTCCTGTGTTGGGTGTTTTGTAGCCTGCAAGGGGTGAAAGGGGTACTCCTGGCCTAGGTGATGAGGAAGAGCAAGAATGGGAATGGGGTAGTCTCTGTAGTCTCCACCCAAATTCACTTGAGTGGGCCTTTTCCAACATTGTCTGAGAATGCCCCTATAATAAATGCCTTTGCTTTGTTCTGCTGATGCTTCTCTTCTTGGACTTAGGTTTCTTGGGCAATCCTGTGCCTGAAGAAAGGAACACTTAACCTAGAAGCCAGTGGGTTGGTGGGGATTAGCCTCATTCCTCCCCTACCACCACACACAGGGTTGCCACCACAGAAGTGTGTCCTGTATTGTCGGACAAGGAGGCATTTGTTCCATTTTGCAGCCCTTTTTGGTGCTTTCTCAGACACAGGCATCCACACTTGCCACCTAACATCACTGGGACACTGGATATTACAGTAGCAAGCAAAAGAATCAACACAAGCAGTAGGCGGATGGAAGAGTTTAATCTTTCAGGGCTATGCCACTTTATGCTGTGGAGCTTTTTTTATAGCTCTCCAAGTGGGATAAGACCCATCCTGCAGGAACCATGAAGCCAGTGAATATGACCACGATCCCCACAACCTGCTCCTGTGGAAAGACAAGCAAACATGAGTCCACTGGTCATTAGAAGTCTCGGGCCTGGCCACTGGCCAGGGAACCTTCCCTGTCCTTGGAGTCCTGCAGCATGGAGCTTCTGCCTCGGCTACAAGTGTTCTTATGGCTAGAGATTACTGCCCTTGCTTTCCCTCTCTCTCAGTTGGCCAGCCATAGTCCCCATTTGCCTTCTGCTTCTCTAGGCCATCTTGTGAGCAAGCAGGCTCTGCTGTGTCAGTGAGCTTGGCAGCCTCAAGTCCTTGCTGGGGAGAATGACCTCAGAAACCAGGAGAAATAGCCTTGGGCATCAGAGCCCAAGATCCTGCCTAGCTGCCAGCAAGGCAAAGGTTCACTCGGCTCCTGTGCTCACAGTCATATGTTCCAGGGTACTATACAGAATAGTAGAACAATTAAGGTTTCCATTGTTACAAACAAGCACAGGGCCTTTCTCTTAAAGCAGTCCCATTCAGAAGCCAAGCTGAGTAAAGTCAGACACCTGCCCTGAGTGAGCGTCTAATGTGTGTAGTAGTGACCCCATTAGGAGCCCTATGCTCTCAGTAGCTTTACTGAGATTCTCGGACATCAACTGCATGGCACCGGGTTTCCCCATGAAACAAGGCCTGGGTCCTGAATTTAAGCAAATTTGGCCTAAACTAGGAAGCTTAGTCTGGACTGCATCCTAGCCTTACGTCTGTAACCAAATGTCCTGGTTCTCAGATTAAGATTCACACTTCCTATCTCGGACTCCGTTGGGTATGCTGCTGTTTCGGTTCCACTCTGGGAGCAGCCTGTCTTTCCCCCAAACAGCAGAGTACACATGTCTGCATCCCACTTCAATTCTGTGCCCCCTAATTCTGTCACTGTTGACCTTGGCCAGGGGTATGTGAGGGCCAAGGAAGACCCCATCCCAGCATTTGTAGCCCTTTGCCATCCTGGCCGCAAGCCGCGGGGCCAGAGCCCCTGTTAGCATTCAGGCGCTATCCTGGCATAAAGCCCTGATACCCAGCACCGCATTCCCCTCCCTCTTATCACCTTAATCCTCCCTGTTGCCCTGAAGCCCAGGAAATGCTACCTTAGAAGTTACTCACCATAGCCGAAGTGGGGGTTTGGGCTGGCTTGGCAGAGATAAGCGCTTTGGGAACCACTGTATACTTCACAGGAGCTTGGAGCAGCTGCAGGACAGGGGGGAGCCTTGGCATGATTCTCAGGTTGCGCTCCTTCCTTGGCCCCGAAGAGGTAACCCTGGGTGTCCGCTGCACGTCCTCTACTCACTTAGGCAGTTAGGGCTTTTTATAGCTGGGCTGGGGAACTGCAGCTGTCTCCTGTCACAAGACTTGGCAGAAAGGATGCCTATTGGTAGCTGGGAGAGAACCAGTCTGTCGTGTGAGCCCCTCAAAATGTAGGTATGTGACATGGACCCTTCTGAACAAGACTGACTTCTTTGCAGAAAAAGACCTTAGTGAGATAGGCCCAGGAAAGTCAGGATGTGGCATACTTCAAAAGTAACCCTTAAATCATGGGATATCATCAGGGCATGGGGGTGCACACCTTTAATCCCAGCACTTGGGAGGCAGAGGCAAGCAGATTTCTGTGAGTTTGAGACCAGCCTGGTCTACAGAGCTACAGAGTTCCAGGACACCCAGAGCTACACAGAGAAACCTTGTCTCAAGACAAAGCAACAACAAAAAACAAAAAATCTTGGGCTATCAGCCAAACAGTAACAGACAACCTGCATTGAAGTTCTGTGACATGGTTCCTGAGTGAGTGGCTGGCCTTCCCATTCTCACGTGGTACACTGAACCAGTAGCCCTGTTGTCTTGACCATTCATTGTAAGTCGAGGCACCTCTGGGGAGTTTGTACAGGGAGCCGTATACCTCTCCATGGTGAGTGGCCTCACGGTTGTGCTGCAAAGGAACAAAAGTAGAACGCAGAGCAGGCACTTTATGAGTGCCAACTGTGGGCAGGAGCCATGTCTGTCCCCAGTGGAGACACCAGGCTGGGTGAGCTCTTAGCACTCTGGCCTGTCTACAGATAGTGTGTGTGCTGTCCATTTCTCCCCAGACTTGCATTAGTGCCATTTTACCCTGCTCCCTGTCACCCTCCTCCCAATGTAGACCTCACTCCCCTTCCCATGTGCTCATCTGTTCTGTCCCCAGGCACCTCCTATTACCCCACCTGACTCCTGCCAAATGCCAAGGGCAGTTTTCCAGCAGTCGGCCTTGCTTTGCTTGGTTGCTGGTTTTCCTCCCATCTCATTCAGGCCCTTCCTGACCTCTGGTTAGCCCCAAGCTCTTCAGGTCTCCATCTGATCTTTTCAGACCCCCCTCTGGCCCTGGACCAGTATGCCTTAGCACTACCAGCTTCTCAGTCATGATCTGGCATGGATTAACCTCCAATGGTTCTCCCCACCTCAGGGCCAAGTTCTGTGGCCGGCAAGTGTTTCTTCCCCAGCTGCAGCCTCTTCCCCCTGGAGTTCACACTCTGCTTCCAGCCCACCAGTAACACCACACCCCAGGGAGATGAGCTCCCTATCTTCCCAAGGTCTAAGCTCAAACTTCTTTACTTTGGCCTCTCTATACATTATCTCAGACAATCCTTCTAAAGCAGTCATCATTACCACCTATATTCTACATTCAGCTATGGGCTCCATGCACTACCTGCTACACAGCCCCCAAGGCCCGAGTGATGTCAACACCCGCCAGTGCCTTTCACTGGGTGTTCTTTCCCTTCTGTTATAACATGTCTGTTTAGGGCACGAGGCTTTGTTCACATGACATCTGAAATGTATCTTGCTCCACTCTGTGTTCCTCTAAGGTAGAAGTGTCTACCTTCTCTACAGACTTCAAGAACCTAGAGCTGTTTCTGGCTTAGCAGATTTGTTCAGCCGGCAGTGGGGACAGATGGTGAATAGATGGGTAGTCATTTGGACAAGAAGATGTAAGGATGGATGATGTTTCCATGATTCCAGGCACTGGGCCAGAATGGGGGATACAAAGCTGAGTCATCTTCAGGGAAAATGTTCTATTATCAGAAGGTCTAGGTTAGCATCATGGCTGATAAAGGCCACACCTCGGTGTCTTCCTTGGCTGCTTTCAGACAATATTGAGTGAGCCCAAGCCCAAGATAGGACATGTGGTCACTGATCATTCAGCCTCATCCTTGGCCATTGTCTGCACCCCTGGAGTTGGCCTTGTCAAAACTCTTGCTAGAGACAAGTCTGTCCTTATTTGCTTGGAATGGTAATAATGTGAATCTATTTCACTAGGAACCTTATTCTTTTCCTGGAAACCACATTTGCTGTGTACATGACACTGCTCCTTAAGATCCACCTACCCACCGAACCAGGCCCAGGAGGCCAAGACAGTCTATGGGACCTCTGACAGTGGAGCCAGTCTTTAACCCTAGAGCAGAAATGGACTTTGGGAGCCCATTCCCTATGGAGGGATACTATTGCAGCCCAGATACAGCAAGGAGGGCCTAGGCCCTCCCCCAAATGATATGACAGACTTTGAAGGTCCCTGGTGGAGGGCCTCACTATCCCTGGGGAGGAGTTGGGGGTTGGTGGGGAACTTGGGAGGATGGGAGTGTGAGGGAATGAGGGGGATGGATATGTAAATATGAGTAGTAATTAAAGAATTTAAATAAAAAATAAAGCAAAAAAAAAACAAAAACAAAAAAACCCACCTACCCTATAGGCCCAGCCTGGTCTTCAGCAAGGAGCCAAGTCCAGGGAGGTCAGAGGATGGGGAGGTGTCCTGAATATTATTTCCACCAGCTCTGGGCTCTAGATTCCAGCCTCAGGCTGTGAGGGGGGGGCTCCTCCTCCCCTCTGGAGTAATCCCTTCCGCCTAAACCTTTAATTATAGTCTTGGGGTCCAGTCTTGGATAAGGCTGTGAACCTGAGCAATTTGTTCAGAGGCTCACTCTGCCAGTGGTATTTCTTCTTTTACAAATAAGACCCGTCCTGAACCTGTCACAGGCCAGCTTCTGGCAAAGGTCCCCATCTCTGATTTGGGGGGACTTGGGCCATTTTCTGGCTGGCCATTGGCAGGACCGTCCTTAGCTCTCAAGACTGCCCTAGACCTGCGGCATGCCACCCTTCTCAGTGACTTCAAGTTCTGTTAGCAGTGTCGAGTCTCCTGATTCAGATCTGTCTGATGTTTTGTTTTGTAAGGAGAAGTTTTAGGCTTACAGAAAAGTAGTAAAGATAGGGCAGAGCGTTTCCATGTGAGCCCATTATGTGTTCCCCATTATGAGCACAGTAGTAGGTGCAACCCTACAAAAGCACCTCAAACTCCATATGAGGTAGAGAGACCTACTGCCCTCCACAGCTTCAGGCTTCCCAGCATCTCTTAGTCTAGCTATGGTGGATGAGGCCTCAGTGAGGGCAGGGTTAGAGCGAGTGCCCAATGACGAGGTGTTAACAATCAAGAGAGTTCACAGGTCCTAGAGCCCAGGGGGCCACACCAGCTATTGCCCTCCACTCCCTTCCCACACCATCCCCAGACTTTCTGACCTTGTTGAACTTTCCAGGCACATCTGACTCTTTATTCCTCCACCAAAGTGGTCTCTATCCTGCTACTCCAGTAGACAGTGGTTCCCCCTCCTCCCTGGTCTCTCTTTTACTTAAAGGAAACAGTGTTATCAAGAGAAGAGTAAGACAGCCAAGGGTAGTATAGGATAGAGATGAGGGTCCTGTGGAGCAGCCAAGACAACTGAGCCATTGAGAAGTCTCAGTACAGGCCAGCCTGCTGTGGTTCGGCCTGAACATGAGTGCCTCTCTCTGGGTGTCTGGTGGACAAGCCACCCTTCTGCTCAAGTCTGTAGTCAGTATTCAAACATACAACTGATGCATGTGGCACCGCCCTGGCCCTGTTCTTAATGCTCAGAAGTGTGAGAGGACCTACAGCCTGACTACCCTGTGAAACCGAAGGTCACCTCTGCCTGCAGGACCGCTAGAGATTTGAGTAGATAAATGTGGATACAGCGCCACCCTGTGTCCACACTTGGAAGTGCAGAAACTGCTGGGGATCCTAGTGAATGGAGAATGGGGCTGTGTTCCTTGAGACTCCAAAGGGATGCTTTACCTATCCGGTGCCTAGAGGCCATTGTAAGGATCCTTACCTTGCCCTTTCCACTGGCCTGCTATTTACATCTAATAAAACAGGCTCCCAAGGTGTGGTGCCTGAGCCTGCGGCACCTGGAAACCAGCTACAAGAGAATCTCATACTCTGGGACAGACCAGCCTCTGACACAGCAGGCTCTCCTGGAGGCATTTAGAGCAGACAGATTTATTATAGGCCTGAAGGTTTGGTGCACGTTTCGCCATTTTCATGTCACAAATGTGATGATCTGGGCTGGAGAGATGGCTCAGTGGTTAGAAACACTTGCAGTGCAGTCTCACAAGTACTGGAGTTCAGATCCCATGTAACAAAACTGATATCCCATGATTGCCTGTAACTCCTGTGTTAAGGGGCCTACAGCCATCTCCTGGTCTCTGTGTATGCATGGTGAGCCACAGTGTGGATGCCCACACATACAAAGCAAAAAGTCACATGGATGCATACACTTAAGTGCATAATTAAAAACAAAAAAAACTTGGTGCTTCATACTTATTCACAACAAATCAGCCACTTTCAGAAATATTAAGGGGTTGCCCAGGTGAGACTCAGTCTTGCTCCTTTATTTGCAAAGACATTCTCCCACTGGATACTTGAAATGTTTGGGGGAATTACAGAAAACAGGTGAGGGCTCTTACAGCAGGTGTAGCTTTGTGTGTGTGTGTGAGTGTGTGTGTGTGTGTGTGTGTGTGTGTGTGTGTGTGTGTGTGTGTTGGATACCACTCTAAAAGGGATGGCTGCTGAGATAACCTCACTCTAAAAGGAATGGCTGCTGAGATAACCTCAGAATGAGGGAGGCCACTTTGGCCTTGAAGCAGGTTAAGCTCAGAGCAGGGTCCCTGCTGCCCCTGAGCAAGACTACAGAGAGTAACCCTTAACAAGCCCTGGCTTCGGTCTCTCGGGGCAGTGAAGCAACTATTCTATTTTGATGAACAGGCTCAGACCCTCAAATGTTTGACTCCTAGTAACCCATGCTGCCTTGCATGGACAGCAAGTCTCAAGATGACAATCCACTATGCAAAAATGTATTCCTCAGTGTGAAGGTCAATCTTACTGACTGGATTTAGAATCACCATAG